CAGCGATACCAGAGGTCTTCATGGACGCCACCGTGAACGACCGCCTGTGGAGCAAGCTGGAGCCGGGCAGCCACCGAGATAGCATGTCCTCCTCCTCCAGCATTTCATCCAGTGACACTGTTATTGACCTGTCCCTCCCTAACCTAGCCAAGAAGAGCCTCACCAGCCTGCCCGCCTCCAGCTCCACCTGTGACAACCCCTGGATCAACTACCGCCACTCAGCCTTGGTCTCCTACGACACCCTTAGAGTCAGCAAGAGCAAATCCAACCCCAATCTTCAGCAAAGTGAAAGTGATAATGATGAGCTTAAGCCCCGCCCCCTGCAGCCCCCACAGGAGGCTTCATTGGACTCTCCTGGCAGACTGACTCAAAGGAGGCACACCTGGAGCCGGCTCTACATGGAGGGTCTCAAACAGTCATCAGCCAGCAGGACATCTTCTCCAACTGCAGCTCAAAGTCCCGCAGCCTCCTCCATGTCAAAGAGCCTTGGGGACCTGACCTCCGACGACATCTCCTGCAACTTTGACAGCAAGTACCGCAGCATCAGCCGCAGCTTCATCGTCAGGCCGACCAGGGACCAGCTCCGGAGGGGCAGCCCGCAGAAACCCCGCCCACCCAGCGACCTGACTGAACAACTCCGCAAACTGACAGATGTGGAGCCCCTCACTCCCGGCGACTTCTCCCCAAAAACCAGAGCTGCAGAGTCCCAGGAGGAGCCCATGGATGAGACCCTGGTGAGGAGGACCTCCTCCAGGAGCCAAAGCCGGGTGCGGTACATCGCAAACCGGGCCAAGAAGGCCCAGGAGAGGCAGAGGCTCCAGGGCCTGGCCCAGGGCCGGAGTGCCAGCTTTAGCTTCACTGGCAGCATCGGCAGTGGAAGTGGTGCGAGCCCCATCGAGGAGCGGGGGAATCCTGAAGGGGCGTGTTGCGTGGCCCGGAGTCCCTGCAACGGCCAGGACCTGCTGAGTCAGCTCGCTCCCCTCGGCACCCCCTCCCCTAGACAGTCCCATTCCTCCCCAGACCCTGAAAACAGTGAAGTCTTTTTCATGCTCAAACTCTGAGAGCTGGCTGACTTGGAACTGAGCGTGAGAGACCCAGCTAGAAACTTGTTTGGATACACTCCTCCTGTTTTTTTCCAAGTAGAGTCTTTTTTAGGAAAATGTTGCATATCTCGCAGAATATCTCACAGAAAAACTGGTTTTCACTGCTGATTATTTCCATGTCTTCAAGAGAACTCAGCTCCACTGAACAAGTCAATCATGAACTATCAATCCTTCATCTGGAGATCCATTTTTTTGTAACCTGTGCACTCAAACGCTTTTGTCAATGTCCTCAAGAGCTTCTGGACCTCTGCAGCTCTGTCGTCTGTTTGCACCTAAAGTTAGAAAATTGCCAGAATGTATTTAGTGAGTTTTTAAATAGCTGTTTACGTTGACTGTTGTCTACTCTAATGTTTGAGTATTTTTTTTCTTGGACTTTGACTTGAGCATTTAGTAGCAACCGAACACAACTAGAGATCAAGATTTTTATGGATTCATTCATTTTTTTATTTACTCAAAGTGTAATTCTTTTACCTGTGTTTAAAATTAGAGACTTTTTATTGAGGCTTGATGACCCGCCTATCCATCCACGAGCAATATTTTAAAAAAACGATGGCATGGTATCATATTGAGAGTCGATAATGTACAGTTTGATGCTTAAAGCTTGTATGTCTTCATTAAAAGAACTAAAAAGGAACATTTCTACAAAGCAGGACAAAATATCTTCATTTGTATCCTCCATGTGTAGTGCTTACGTTGTAATCTGACCAAACTGCCAATATTTGCTGACCTCCTGCTCTGTGGCATGTCACAGCACTGAGACCCCGTCCTTTTAAAGCCGTGGTGGACCGCTCCATAATCCCACTTTAGCCTTTTTTAGTCGACTGCATGTCTGAACTGCACTGCAATGTTTCTCCTGAGGCTGTGCTTTACTCCACAAAGACTTTTTTACATGATTTGTCAACGCTTCGATCTTCTTTTCTGGATCACTAGAGCTAAAAGTCTGTGTTCTCATCAGTTTGTAGTCGAATCCAAGATGGAAATGATCCGTATCGAAGCACGTTTGTTCGTCGGCCTGCTGTAGTGTTTGCACTGCCATGCCAGTTGTTTGTGCAAAATTTAGGGACAATATTTAATTCAGACTGTGTTATTATGACCTGAATAAATCTCAAATGAACATTACTGCTTGTTTCACAGCTCATTTCTTTCATTAACACTTAATCTGTCAGCAGCTGTCCCAGCTCAGAGACAAAGCAGAGTCCTTAACAGGCCAGTTAAAGTGAGCCTCATACAAGCTGACATGGAAAGCCGTTGGCCTCCGTTTTGGCTCGGTCTGCTTGGTCTGTAATTATGGACTCTGCTTGGGTCTGTGTTTACCAGCCATCACCTCTTCCAACCTCTTTGGCACTAAAACGGACCTCCTGCAGGACAGGAGAATGATCCAGAACAAAGACTCAAAGCTACACAAGAGCCGACAAGCACAACCAGTCATTTGAGGAGAGAAAAACACACCTCCTCAGCGCTGTTCGCCACCCAAGTTCAGATTTTTAAGGCTACAAATTAGACTTTCAAAGAAGTTTTAATGAGCTGTTTAGAAATAAAGTCCAGTCATACTTTTTTTTGCAGGTTTTGAATCAGTCCTTCAAAATATGCAAAAAAAACCCTCAATGCTTCTGAAGTCTTTGAATAACTTGAACCCTTCAAAAACAGCATATTCACCCCGGGGTTCACTGTAATTTCATAAACTGACCGTGTCAGTGATGGATTTATGCATACTTTCAGGAAGCCAATGGAGGTTTTTGGTTTCTCCCTGGGTACTCTACCCTCACAACACTGATCAGTCTTGCCAAAAACTATTTTGGCACCAATAAGTCAGTAAAAACTGCACCAAAGGGAAAGTCATTTTCAGTATGATTATTACACCATTCAACATTCTCAGCATTGTCTGCAGCCCTTTTCTGCATTTTCAGCCCAAATCTTAAACCTTTGCAGCAAGAGCTTGGTAAATAAAAAGAGCAAACATGCAAAAACTGCAGAAGGTATTATTATTATTTTGTTTTAATGAGACAATATGCATGGGATTATAGCCAAGCGGCCAATTTCTGTCCCTTGTCCCAATAGCAGGTTGGTGTCAACATATAAAAATGAAAACAAACATCAGTAATCGGATTGAAACACACAGAGCATATCGGCAACAATATAGGCGATATACAATCTAAAAATAAAAACAGGATGAGAGTTGGGGGACCACGGGGAAGAAAGCGGAAGTCTAATGATTCAATCTCGTCTATTTTTCTGTGTTTAGAAGTTACTTTAGCAAAATCACTCCATTAATGCAATACCCCCTAATTAGCAGCTGAGCTTGATTCTACACACCTTACACCAGCTGAGCAGAGTACGGTGGCCAACGAGGTTAAATGATCTGCAACAGTCTGATTAATCTTCAATCAACATGCTCCAAAAATCAAGCCTGTGGCATAAACATGAACACACATGTCCTATAACTCTAGATAATGACACAGTGACCTGCATGACATGCCCATCTTGTTTTGAGTGGGAGGTTTTTACTCATAGTTTGAAATGTTATATCTAGATTTAGGTGACCACGGCTTGTATTTAGTTACGTAAGGCTTTGCAGCACGCATGTGATAATTGGACTTTTGGGAGAGGTGCACAGTTCACGTAGAAAGGTTTGTTTGAGTTTCTATTCAGAAGGGAGGCACAATTTCCTTCAGTTTCATTTTTCAAAATCCCATCACCCTGGCTCCATTTTAACCCTTTCTGTCCCACATCCCTGCCTCCCCTGAACCGTGGAATGGGTGCTGCCCCTGGGTGTTTTCTCAGGACTCTGATTTGTCAGTCAGACTGTGCTTTCCAAAGCTGACGGCCACCTCTGGAGATCTGTCACACACTGCCAGTCCTCTTCCTCAGCTCTGTGAGACTTTGTGAAGCGTGACATGCTCATTTTAGCGCCGCAGACGAGCCTCCAGCCAGTACACAAACACAAAAGACGACTTCATTAGGATTCTGAGAAAAGCAGCGAGCCCCTCTTTAAGCTGTATTTATCCGGACAGTTTGGCAAGGCTTGGCCTCTCAACTGCAACCTCCAGGCCCCGTCTAGCACTTGAGGCCTGAGAGAATGTTTTTGTCTCACAGAGTGAATGAATGCGGCCCCTCCTCTCAAGATGAAATCACTGCCTGTTTTTGAAGAGTTTGTGCAAATCAATCAGTTTGGTTCAGTCAGAGGAGCTCTGAGGAGGCGCTTCTCACTTTTTCATTTTGGGTTTTCTAGCTCTAAGGTTTGACATATTTTGGATTTGGATAAAGTTATTGCTTCATTTCGATACAAAAGAGAAGAGATACAGGACATGTTGAGGGTCTGGCCTGAATTTAACTTTGTAATTGCTGCAACAAGCTGATGTTTTTACCTTTACACTATTGTTAGAAAAGTCTGACATATTTTCAGGAGTTACTCAAGGTTACTCAGGAGGCAAAGCCAACACACTCCCAAACAATCCTCACCTCCTCTGGTACCTCCAGTCTATCCATCTGCAAACTCACTGAAGCCCCTGAACCCCACCCCAGCCCCCACAACTCCCTCCTTAAAATCCTGTTATGTAATCTTGCAAAAACAAGTGAGGCACCATTAGGTCATAAAATGAGGTCGGCCAAAAACAGGTCAACTGACCCCAAATCTGCAGAAATAATAACAAAGCAATACAGTAATTTAACACGGTGTATTTGATGTGTTGTTTCTAGATGTGATGGTGGGAGAAGGAAAGAAGAGATTTAAATCTTCCTATGTTGAAATGCCATGTGTAGGAGTGCAGTAACTTTTATGGGAAAAACATCTGTGTTATATTTGATATCTTTTCCAAACCTCAGCCCGACGATCAGAAGTTTATTCTCCCTTTGAGGTTCATATCTCCTCCCCCCTGTGCTCCCCCATATAAACCCCCACTTCATTGTTTTGCACACAACCCGTCCCCCTGCACACTTGCAAGACTTGTTGTGATTTTCCTAGACATTTGTCTGGAGTCAATCCTCGAACACAAATCGAGCTGCTGCAGACAGATCTGAGGTAAGGAGCTTTAGCTAAAGAATACAGTGTAGTATTACTGGAATATCAAATGCTATATGCTATATGTTGGACATGGGAAATTTCAGCAAATGATCTTGTTCAAACAAATGAATAACTGTCATTTTTTTTAGGTTTGTGGCATCATGAAAAGCGGCTTAAGTTTGCTGTTGTGTGTGGCAGCTCTGACTGCATGGCAAGTCACTGCAGGTAAGACTAAAACACACCTGGCTCTGCATCACATGATGGTTTATTTGGATTTGTGCTTTTCATTTAAAGAGCTAAAGATTAATTTCTGTGTGGCACAATAATTTCTTTATATCTTATCCACTACTAAACCAGATAAAGCAGTTTTATATACATGATGTCCTGCATGTCTGAGCTTCATCTCTTTGTCCATGACTCTTCTTAGTTGACTGATAGGTACATGTTTGGTGATGGTACTCATTGTTATTTTTACAAAGATTATACCCAGTATCTGCTTTATAGGTAAAAAAAAACTGCAGCTTTGGTTTCTCAAACTTTTCTCTCTGTTAGTGCAGTGTTCCCTTCTGCATAATGTGCATGATGCATTTTGCATGCTTCAAATATGCTGTTTTTACCAATAGATAACACTAGATGACCTGCTACAACATATTGACTAAAGGTTTAATCTTATTGTTGCAGCAGTTGCAGTAAGAAATGACCTGAGCACTGTTGATTTGAATCAAAAACTTTCACTTTTATGAAGACATGAAGGTTTTCTGTGCATTTGTGAATTTGATTTTACCAACAGTTTTTTTGACTGTTACGTAATCCTTGCACAAGCTAATCTGGCAGCATTCCACTGTAAATCTCCAGGATTTTAGTCTGCACAGCAGCTTTGTTAACTGTTTCACAATATGCAGCTTTGTTTCCAGCTTTGTTTTTTGTGGGTGTAAGTTCAGGAAGTTAGTTTGAGGATTTCTGCCAAACATCCTGTGGTTTTACTCTTATAATAGACAATTCTGCACCGGTTTATATAGATCCAGCTCCAGGATTCAGGAAGCTGCATTCTTTAAAGCATGAAACAGAAAGTCAGGCTGTAAAGATTCAGGAGGTGGGGAATGTTTCACCTGGGACACCAGAGAGTGTTTCCTGTCAATGTGAAAACTTTTGGCTGATTTCAAAACATAACAATATAATAAAGACCTCTGTGTGACTTCAAACCCTGCTGTATTATCTATTGAAATCAAGCTGCAACCTCCAGCTTCAAAAAATAAAATAAAAAAAGAAAGTACAAAAGTGCTTAAAACTGCAGTTCTAAGAGTGTCCACTAGAGGCGGGGTCTAAAACCCTGAGGCCACACATACACACCCATTCAAAAAAGCCAATGTATTTCTGTGTCAGCAGATATAATCTTGCTTTTTTGGTCTCTCTCTCTCTCTGCTCACACTGTACAGGGGCAGATATGCAGATAATTCATTAAACAAACACAGCTGACCTGACTCAAAGTCAGACACACTTAGGCTGTTAGCCAGGAGGCTAAAGGCCCCAACTCCACCCTTTTGCCTCTTGCTAGGTCAACAGAAAGTTAGGATGAGTCAGCATTTTCAAGATGGCTGCCATCATCTGCTTCAGAAAAAAAAGACTGAAGTAAGCTCACCTCTACATCCTACCTGAGCCCTCTGTGCAGGTTTAAACACTCTGGTCTTTTAAGAATTACTGCATTTTCTGGTTGGATATTTTCATACTTCGTTTTAGTCACATATTATTGCTGGTTGTCCAAATTTGTTTTTTAACAAGTTTTCAGGTGGTGACAGAAACTGAAGAAAGGGAGACATTATAAAATCAAAATTTTGCTTATTATCTCAAACAACAAGCCCCTTTAACATTAAACCTAGGCTGTATATTTATCAGATATTTTTAGATCAATTCTCCTTGGTGTAAATGAAAATGTCAGAGCTTTCTTTATAGCTTTCTTAGTATTGACAATGGCTTTTTAGATATTCATAACATTATTCTTACTCGTTTCAATAGTGTCATCTCTGCCATTCATGTGTAATTGGGCTCTCAGTGTCAGATATCTATAACTTAAGTTTTAGCATCCAGAATGAACATTAGCCGAATCCTTTCAGGGAAAAAATTCCCATTTTAGATAACTATAATCCAATTTTTACAAGTCCTAATTTTGAATTCACATTTTCAAAATGGAGAATCAATTCAGATAAGTATAATGTTATGTTGAATATTCAAAATATATTTCTAGTAGTTGGTAACACTATAACAGGAGGTTTTCTGAGGAATTATAGATTTGAAGAACGACATCAAGCATAAATTGTTGTGGACATCTTTAAAAGCCAATACAATAAAGTTTTGATCAGAAGAAATATCCTGAATATTTTTCAGATCCATTATGGAGCTAAAGAATATTATTCCTGATGGAAGTGCGTTAAATTTGCCACCTGACAACAGTACATTGGTATTTTTGCTCAAACCACCCATTAGTGCAGCTGGCTCACAGTGAACATGTGAAAAGTCTGCTTATATAAGATGAGCGTGCACCGGTAGATCATGCAGGTAATCCATTTAAGAGCAAAGTACAGACCTATTTCAGACCTGAAAGGTAGACTAACAGATGTTTACTGGTATTATGTTTGGGTGTTTGATTAATGATTGCTGTAAAGATGTAAAAGAGTTTCAACAACATGACAAAGCCAGTCCTTCAGTTGTAAATTGCCTACTCAAGCTTTAAGTAATCCTTGAGCCAATGGGATTCTTCCTTCAGAGTAGCCCAGCCCCTGCTGACTGTCTGCAGAGCTAAAGCTCAGCGGGCTCTGGCTGACCCATGAGACCGGGGTCACGCTCCCAAATCATTCGTCTCATAGACTCTTCCCCTCCGTTCGCCTGCTGGAGCCCTCGCCAAACACAGAGGGGGCGCCGTCCACTGTGGCAGCATCCCATTTCTCACCAGTGGAGGGGCCGCCGCCGTGCTGAGGCCCAGAAAGCACTGTGATAAATCAATTAATCGTAGAGGGGAGGGGGCTCCGCGGGCAGGCCGTGAACTGACAGGCATCTCCGCACATCGTAGCTCCTGCCATCCTCTCTGGAGGGGGCTGATGGGGTGTCACAGGCTTTATATGACCCCGCTTGGGCCCGCTTTTGTAAACACATGCTATTATAATGAACTTGCACCCCTGGCACCTCCGCTCATCCCCTTCTCTCTTCTCTGACCGACCCTGGCAGGGCATGTTAGGGCCTGCTGGACACGCTGGGAAAGCTATTGGTCACAGCTCTGTCAAAAAGAAAGAAAACAGCTCTGAGTATCAGGGGTAATGTCGGGGGAGGCGGGGGAGTCATCGTGATGGACACGGGCTGAAGGTCAAGAGCAACCCTAAACTGTAGAAATGATGTATGCAGGCAGTAAAAAGTCACCCGATACTTTGATTACAAAGTTTGGCATGTTTGCCAGGAATGACCATATTTGGATAAGTGGGTGGGACTAGATATAAACAAGAGATTGAAACTTAAACAGTCTAAGCTTGTGGTCCATTTTATAACTATAAAATAAGCTTCTTATTAACAGTGTTTCACAGGACGAGATTGTGTTTTGTGTTTTGTCCACTCTGGCTGTTAATCTTTTGACTATTTTGCCTTATGAAGTGTATTCAAGTGTAATTGTTTATAATACGTATAGTTTAAATGTGTTGATGAATCTATACTGTTTTTGGTTATCATACAGTTTAACAAAGATTCAAAGCAAAAATGGGAGAAACTGCAGTAAAGACTGAGGGGAGAATTTCTGAGCGTTATCCGTGTGAATGTAGGAATGTGCAGAAAGAGCAGTAAAATAAAGTTCACAGATATGACACATGAACATTCAGGCCTAATATAATAACTATAAACAATAACCACAAGCTCTGTGGGGTTTAAACCACTTTGAGAGGCAGTCTCAAGTGACCACTGGTGGAGCTGCAGTATTTTGGCACTTGCATATTTCAGCCCAGGAAGTTGCATCTTGGGTGAAGCCCATCTTTAAGGAGGGTCTCTACTTTGATCCCCTCCACGGGGCCCAGTTTATACAGCTCAAAACTGTCCCCTCAGACTGAAGCCCCTTTTCTTCCAGGTCTCCTGAAAAACAAGCAGCAACAACGCTGCCATTGTCCTCCACTGGCTGTTCGGCTTATTTACTGCCGTTGGGTAGAGAAAAACACACGGAGGGATTCAAAGAAACAAAATGCTTCATTAGGTTTCAGGGGCGATCTGCACATAAGCCTGTAGACATGAAACCAAAGCGGGAATCAGCCAAAGAACTGGCTCAGACTAAATCCCCTCTCATCTGTGCTGATACTCATGCTTGATTATGTTCTCTCTCTTCATTACAAAACCCAGGATTTATTGTGCTGCCTGTGTTTTTCTTTCTAGATGTCAAGGAGTTATCCATCACCACCATAAAGGTATTCTCTCTTTGTGTTTATAGAGTCAGGAGCCAAGGTGGCAGCGGCCTCCAGCAGCTGTGAGACCAAATCACTGTGACTAAATCAGCTCTTTGTGAAGAAAGGGGACTTGTTTTTGAACCAGTCAGGCCATTATTTCTATTCATAATAAGATGTTATTACTGTTTAACACACAGCGCCGTTGAAATTTCAGATTCTGATCAGAAAACATGATGCGGAAAAGAACACTGACAAACATTTTTGTGACTCCTATGGCCTGTTACGTGCACACTGCTGGGATTTATTGAAACATCTCAAGTGCGCTCAGTTTTACCTCAGTTGGCCTGAAGTCACTCCAAGTAAGGAGCATTTAATTCAGGACCACAATCTTAAGACTTGTTGTTTTTGTCACTGAATTCTGCTGAGATGAATAAGATCCAGTTTGGACAAAAGCGACTTGTTCCTGACACAAATCAAATGTCCTTTAGATTGTATCACAAATAATCAGCTGCATTTGAAACCTAGAAGGATAAACTTTGCAGATTTAGCAGTTGTATTTAAAATTTATGTCCCTTTCATCAGCGCAGTTCTTTATATTCTTCACAGGAGGACCCGTACACAATGAGGAGAGACTCCGAGTTCGAGGGTTATTGCATCGACTTGATCTCTGAGCTCTCCAAGAAACTCGGCTTCAAGTACAAAGTTCATCTGGTGAAGGACAACCGCTACGGAGCTATGGACGCCAGTGGGAACTGGAACGGCATGATCGGAGAAGTTGTTAGAGGGGTATGTTTAAAATGACTTTTTAGAGATGGAGTTTTCCAAACATGATCAATATATGTAGTATATCATGAACCCAGTTGTCATCATTTCAAGTTGGAAAAAAAAACTTTCAGGTGACTTTTAATTTAATCTGTGAATATTGTTTTATAATTACCTGATGCTGAGTTCTCATAACAGGTTATCAGAGTTTATAATAATGCAGTTAAGGTGTAAAATATTTAAAGAGGAGAGAAGCAGAAGTAACGAGGGTCAGTCATTGTCATGCTGTGAATCTTAGTCTGTCCTGCATCACCGTGTCCATTTCACAGTTCAGTTTAATACATGAAGTTAAAAATTTTACTTGCAAGTTACAAAAGTGGATCATGATATCTTTCTTTGACGGCTTCATTATCAGTTTATATTATTACACATTTTTAGTATTGATTTTTTATTTATTGTGTAATGTTGCGATCTTTGTGTTTTTGGTTGATAATGTAACTTAAGGCTTCTCTTTGGATAAAAACGCTTTTTAAAAGTAGAATTAAATACATTTTTATAACTATATCCACACATTTAAACTTCACTCTTTGGAGCAATCATATTGTAAGCAGTATTTATTGTGTGAGTGGATAGAAAATGTACAAATTTAAACAGAATCAAACGTTTCTGTAAGAGGGGCACCACCCCTTTTAATCTATGTATGTCTCTCTGGTCATCAGGATGCAGACCTGGCCGTGGCCCCCCTGACCCTCACAGCGGTCAGAGAGCAGTTTGTGGACATGACCACGCCCTTCATGCAGACAGGGATCAGCTTCATCCTGAGAAGAGACGCGGCCTCAGAGTACAGCAGCTTCAGCCTGCTGTCGCCTTTTTCCTCCGACATGTGGGCCGGAATCCTCATCGCTTTCCTGCTCACAGGGGTCTGCATGTTCCTGGTGGGCAGGTCAGTTCAGGCTCCAAAAACTACAAGAGGATCTATGTCTGATGGTATTAGTGCTAATTGGAAATAGGGCTGCAGATATCAGTGCACAGAGGGGAGGTCACAGGTGACATTTCTGGCAATAAAGGGATAACAACTATTCAGAAAAGCTATTTTATTTCAAACACAAGATGTGTTGTGTTTCTCCAAGATTTTTGTTCATTGTTTAAGGTTTATTTGCAGATTAATCAAATTAAAAATGTAGAGAGAAAGCTCTCTTTTTTTCCTACAGCTACCTGCTATTTCATCCTGAACACTCTTTGTATTTCAAACCAAATTTGTGAGATACACATCAGCATACACTGCAAAAGGTCTTTTGCTTATTCTTGATCAAAAATGACTCATTAGACCCAATATAGACCAAATGCATCTGACAAATCCATCTTAACATCTTTTTTCCGAGCCAAATATCATGAAAAATTTGAGTGGCAAGTTTCTTGAGGAAATCCACAAGTATATTTCATACCCTGTTTGCAGATTTATGAACTTGTCACAAAAAGGGGGGTCTGATTGTGAGTTTACCATAACTTAAAAGATGTTACCTGGCAAATATGGCTCACACTGCATCTTATATGTCATTTTCCTGTCAGCAAATCGGACAGAAACACCTGCTTAGTTTTGTGGTATAAACTGGGAACAGCATGATACATGTAATAGACTGTGGATCAGGGTCATGGGGTCTAGATTTAGTCAGAGGATGCTGAAGAGACCGGATCCAAATGCCACATTTTAAGGAGGAGAGGTCAAGGCCAGGAGTGGAATCATCAAAAACCATCAAGAGTCCATGTTTTCAGTAATGGGGCCTTTTTTTTCTGTCTCTGAAGGATCAGCCCCTCTGAGTGGTCAGAGCCGGACAAAGAGCAGCAGAACTTCACTCTTCTGCACAGCTTCTGGTACATCACAGGAGCTCTGACTCTGCAAGGTAACAGGACACAACGCAACAGCAGAGTCAAAGAGAGACTCACTGCTGCACCGTGCATTCACAGAATAACTCTCCTGCATTGCATGGTTGTCATGAGGCAACAGAAGTGACACTTACGTTAATACATCAATTGAATAAAACTGAAAACAAACAGAAAAACTCTCAATCAATGACATGAAAGAAGTGAAGAAACATGTTTTGAAATTAAAACAGTGAAATAAAAGTAAAATAAATAATGAAATATTGTCATAGTTCATACTGATGATATCATTCACAGTTTATAATCTTCACCATTTCTCTGCTTCTTGGAATTTAAACTGAGCAAACATTTACAGCTGTAATACACAGTCACTTTGCCCTCTGTCTCCTCCCAGGTGCTGGTCCTCATCCTAAAGCTCTATCCGGACGTATACTCAGCGCCATCTGGTGGATCTTTGCTGTTATGCTGCTGGCCTGCTACTTTGGCAACTTAAACTCTATACTGCACTCAAATCACAACCACGTTTCCATCGAGACCTTTGAGGACCTGGCAAACCAGGATGTGATTGAATACGGCACAGTAGAGGGTGGATCTACCATGAGCTTCTTTAAGGTACTTTGAGATGATAATAAAAATGACAGTGTTTGGATCTGCTCTGTAACGTCTCTGTAAAGTCTCAGGTAGGTTTATTCAGCTGGACTGAAAGCTTATTTGTCCTTCTTGTCTTTCTCAGTATTCAAACAACCCGCTGTACAGACGACTCTACCAGAATATGGAGCGTAAGAAGAGTTTTGTGTCCACAATGGAGGAGGGGGTCCGTCGTGCCCAGGAGGGGAACTTTGCCTTCATCGGTGAGGCCGTGTCTCTGGACCTGGCTGTGGCTCGGTACTGTAAACTGATTCGCTCTGAGGGTATCATCTCCATGAGAGCATACGCCATCGCTGCGCCTCTGGGTGAGTTGAGCTGACCCCTCAGGGGTCTAGTAGTCTTGGAATCCAGAGTGTGTTCACATGCTAATAATCACGAGCAGGGTTTGATATCATAAAAGTGCTCATCTGTGTTTTTCAAATCCGTTCTTAGGCAAACGTTGATCTTTACGTTTTTTATTTTGATTGAAATATTTGACCATCCTATTAAAATTGTATTAATAAAGATACATTCAGTGTCATCTTTATCTTTTGTTGGTTAAAACACTTGACCACAGAGCAGTGCTTAAGATTTTTAGTGTCTGCACACAGAGTTAACTTGAACAAAGTGGAGGCTGGTTTTAAAATTGACTGTATAAGGTTCAAACGTCTCTTGACATCTTCACACAGCAACAGCAGACAGATGCATTTGTTAATCAGCTTTAAGTTAAGTCAGTGTATCAAGTAGAAAGATGTATGTTTATAGACATGGTCCCTTTCAAAACAGAATGGATAAATGAATGAACAATTAAGTATTTAGATCAGATTCCAGACTGAAACGCTCCCTTGCTCACCCCTCCTGTCAGTAAAAGGACCATGGCCTTCAATGACAAAAAGCTCCTATAATACATGAGAAGAATGACCCACAACTATCAAATTTTTACCATTCATATGAATACTACCCACTGATTGTGAAAAATGTATATTACCGGTATATGTGTTCTGTGCCTCTGCAATATGGTGTCCAAGTGCGCTCTGATAAATGGGGTTAAAAACTGCACACTTTAACTTGCTGAACAATTCCCCTCCTTGGGCTCTGGTTTGTTTTTAAAGCCCTGAAGAATCAATAATAATGTGATTTTCTCACTGTGAAATAATTGCTAAAAGCTTCACAGTTTACTCATCTCAACAGATCATTAAACAACACAGATGAAAAACGTGGACAAAAATTAACAGTGAATGAGATAATGTTGGGAAAGAAATTGCTGCTCTTTTCTTCAAACTGTGTGACACCCAAATGGCCTCTGGAACAGAGTTTCTACAGTATTTGAATGGATCAACTACATAGACCTAACTACATAGATCTTTAAAGTCAATTTAAATTCTTTTACCTTAAATGTTTATCTCAGAGCATCTTCAGTCTGGGTTATAACTCCTATTTCTGTTTTTGCTCCTCCAGGTTCCCCTTTGGTTAAAAACCTGACCATCGCCATCCTGCAGCTCAGTGAGTCCGGCGAGCTGACCTACCTGCGCAATAAATGGTGGGCCAGCAGCTGTGCTGGCGCCGACGGCACCCTTGCATCTGAGGCCCTGCACACCAGCGACCTGCGGGGCCTCTTCCTCCTTCTGGGCCTGGGGCTGACTGTGGGGCTCCTCCTGGCCCTGCTGGAGCTCCTCTCCAAGGCTCGAAACCAGGCCAAAGATGGCAAAGTATGAAACCTGTCTGCATCAGCGTCTGTGTCTAACAGGGCTGTTGTTTTCTGAAACTTCTCTTCTTACGTCTCTTTCAGAAGTCGTGCTGCTCCGTCCTGACATCAGAGCTGAACCGGAGGTTTGGCAGCAGAGGAGAAAGCACAGAGGGAGACGGCTCGGACAGAAACAAAGCCTGAAGTCAAAGTTTAGGACTTAGCTGTTGATAAAAGGAGAGGTTTAGATCCTCAGCCCAGCTTCATAGAACACAGTAGCTCTTAATGTGTCTGTAGCTGAAGCAGTTTGTTTCCTCATTGTTCAGGCTGTTTTTTTTATGATCTAATGAAAATATAAACATAAGCTAGCCCCTCCAGCATATTCAGCATCAATCAAAGAGAAATAGAGCTACAAATGCATTCATTAATCTTTCTAGTTCATTCCTCAGTGTAGCTGTTGCTGTGAGATATCCATATCACATCCTCCTACTAACTCTCCCTCTGTTTATTTCTTCTTGGACTGTAATACTTTTGAAACTGTTTCAATTTGTTGTTTATTCCAAATAAAGATCCTTCCACCCCCGACTTGCTCCTTCTCCAAAGTTTATATCACAGCAGACTGGACATATAGTTTATAGTTTGGAGTACATCATCTGTAGAAAAAAAGACATCATAAGGACATTTACAGTGAAAACTCACTCATTCAACTCTTCCTCTTAAACACAAAGTGAAATATTAACTTACTGACTCAGAGTGTCTGGAATAAAACTACAATCTGAAACTTTAATATCAACATTTTTAGGCTTGAGAAAATATTATCTTTAAATGTAGAATTTCTGATCAACCCTGTCTGTATAATCTGAGGAAATATATTTTATTGGATTTTAAAATGATATTCAAAAGTCTATATAAACGTCAATCCCGGTGTACCTCAAGCTATTTTCTTGAACCATGTGCAATTTTGTCCCTTTAGGCACACCATAGGTCGACCTCTGCAGCGTCCCTGTGTTTCCTCTGCTGCAGCCACAAAGGGAAATGAAAACACCACAGTGCTTTTGAACAACACATTTCCCTTCATATAATCCAGGACGGCTCCCACATCACAAAAACCACCAGGACACTATTTTAGAGTGTCAAAGTCACTATAGACCTGTGGATGAAACCAATCGAAGAAGTTCAGCCCTTAATAAAGAGATGGAAATGGACTGTAGGACAGCCGACAATGAATGAGATTTGGGGCTAGCATGTTGAGCATTTCTGTCACTGGAAACAATATTTTCACACACATGACCTGTGTGAAAAGGAGATGGCAACCACACATGAACTCCTGAAAAGTTGCAGTTGCATTAACTTGGAATCACTGAACATCAGTGTTCGGAATTGTTTTAGCTTAACATATTTGTTTTTTTGTCAGATGTGAGCTTTATTTGGAGCTGATGTGAAATACAATTAGATTTCCACAGATTCCTCATGTAGCTCTTCCAATATGATTTTCATGCAACAAACTTGAATCAAGATTAGAGTCAGGGGAGAAATGCTCTGCAGGTTCAACTTGAACAGGTAAGTGTGACTTTTTTTACTCACTAAATAAATAGATGTTTAATGCCAGGTCTTGTGTGATAAAACAAAATAGGAAGAAGATACGGTTAATACACTTTTTTACATTTTAGAACAATAAAGAGTAATTTTATTTTTGTTTTCCTATGATCTTTTACAACTGTTATTGCACATGGCATCATTGGGTTTTTTTTTTGTGGTTTTTTTTTGTGGTCCTTATTATTGCACCTTTTTATTGCAGATTGTTGTTTGTGCAGATTGTTGTTGCTCCAAGGTAGTTGGCTGCAGACAGACAGATAACAGAGTCGTGCTGCAAATGGTTGAGGTAAGAAATGGATCTTTTCATCACTGCAACAAACTAAAATTAAAATGTTGGAATAGTAAGACATAGACTTTTGTGCAATAATTTGGCAACTTTAATTTGGAGACAAAATAATCAATAAATCACCCCTCTCTGGAGCTTGTAATGTTTCTATTCAACCACTTGGAGGTGCTATTGTATTTTCATGAGTAATCACAGCTTCATTCATGGAAAAACCAATGACTGTTCAATGTAGAGCACAGAGGAGTGGTAACATGTAGCCCTCTGACTGGACTCCCATTAGCGAAGCATCCAGCAATCATGGAGTTTAAAGCACCGCAAAAACATTTTTTTTGGAGGGGCTGAAAAAGCAGAAACTTTTACAAATAATAGAGTTGGATATCTTTATAGTTGTAGCAAAAAAAAAACAAACTCTGCAGACATCTGAGCTTTACAAGTAATAAATAACCAAATATGACATCTGGTTATTCTGAAATCAGAAACCTCCCACTCTATAATATGACAGATTTCATGGAGTTAGAAATAGCATGTGTTTTCTGTTGCTAATGGTGACCAACCAAGTCTCATCTGTGAAGTCAGATTCAATCCCAGTCTGAAAAAAACTCAACATTGTGTGAAAACTGAAAGACTACAACCATACAAACCAGCCTCAGCTACAAACCAGGCAAGGTAATCACACTGGGATGGCAGACAGCTTTGAATGAAGAGGAATAGGCTGCAAAAATACTGTAACTGCCTGTGCAAATAAGAGAAACAGAGACACAAGTATTTAACATGCATACGGTGACATGAATAACCAGGTTTTTCAGTGTGCATGTAATCGCTATACTCCAAATATAATCAAAACTGGGATGAGGATACTCAAATCCCTGCAAACTCAGTATCATGCAGAAGTCTTGAACAAATGCAATGCTGGAATGCACTGCAACAATGCATCAACACCAAACAAGCTGCAAGAAATTTAATGATGCAAAATCTCAAATAAGCAAAAGTAGAAACACATGCAAAATAAAAGATTTACAAATTCTCTTCATTACACCCAAAGTGCTCTAAATTTGAAGCAAATACTCAGCTGCTCCTCCATGGGATCTTAGTAAAATCCTCACATGCCAAACACTAAACAATAAATCACACATTATGCAGAATAAGTACCCCATCCCTAAGTGTCAGTTATCTCAGTTTATGCATGAAAACATGAGTAAAATGTGTTGGGATTATTTAGCCTCCACATTAACTGACGCTCCAGACATCATCAGCGCTCTCACAGTCAGTGAGTCTGGCTGTGAGTTTGTTCAGAGGAGAAAACGTCCTCTGGCTGTGTGAACGACCTGCACTTGAACCTGCTAATCAGCCTCAGGACTCATTGATTCAGCTCCGGCAGGGGAAGCTGACGGCTGAGGCAGAGGAGGAGGAGGAGGAGGAAAAGGGGGGGTGCATGAGAGACACGGGGAGAGGTAGGAAAAGAGCGGTATTGATCTGGTGGCAGGCAGCTCCTGACAGCTGTGCTAAGCTAGCACGTACTGCTCTCAGCCACAGTCTGCAGGCCGGCCGACAGGGAAGTGCCTAAGCAGATTAAACTGTAAATCCTGCAGATTTCCTGCCGCCCCCTCCAATCAAACCCTTCCCTTTCCACAACCACCATCACATCTCACCACCTGACAAAACTTTTTTACCTCTTTGACCATTAAAAGCTTTGTGAATGGATCTATCACTGCCACTCAAACTGTTTTTAATAACCGTCGACATGATACCGTATTCAATGATGTTTCGGTGTTTCATATTTTCTTCCTTATCAAGAACTAACCTAACACTAGATTGACTCAGTTCAAGCTACTTTTACATTAATACACCCAAAATTAGACTTTTGTAATCAAGTTAGTGAGTCTGGATATGATAACTTCACACCAGATTCCTCATACATGTACTCACCTTGATAAAGTGATAGGGGATCAATGTTGTCTTTTGTGTTTACGCCTAAATCTGAGACAAACTGGCCCGAAAGTTCTGCATATGCTCCACAGTTTGCTGGGCTGTGACCCAAGAATTTAACAGCATAAATGTGTCGCAGTAAACCAAACCTCCACAGAAAATAAGGGTACAAAAAAAAAAGACAAAGCTGTAATAGAAGGTACAGATCCCTATAGAGGTCGGAGCCGTTAGCCTCTCGCTGCTGTTTGTTGATTATTTTGGTATGTGACGTGATAGGTCTCTAGTGAAATAAACAAACTTCCACCCAAATACTTCCATTTCTGCTGCCAAACTCTGTTCAATGTACCATTAACAAAAGAATTTTTAGAAAGCAGATAAAACTACAGACAGAAAAACTAAGTTTCTAAACGTTTAGAAAATGTTCTTTGTGGCTCATGACCTTCTGCAAACAAACACGCTGTAAAGTTTAGAGAAAGTTTAAACTGTTTAAAAAGACGAGACTAAAAAAGAGATAAACTGTCAATGATCTGATGGCCTTTTATTCACACCAGCTACAGAAGACTGAGACACATCAGATTTGCATGATAAAGATATTTAGGGCTAAAGCAGTTGAGTTTGTAAATTTGCATTAATGTCTCTAAAAAGCCTCCCTCTGCTGGAGTTAAGATGTGAATGAATAAATAATAGATGTTTTTATTCAGAGAAAATCTCGTTTTTGAAAAAACACTTCAATCATCCACTTAACTTTTCCAGACTGTTGTGAAATGATCTCATATGCAGACTTTTGGGTTGATATAAACACTGTACAGTAATCTCTCTCTCTGTCTCTCTCTCTCTGTCTCTCTCTCTCTCTCTCTCTCTCTCTGTAAGTGGCCTACATTCCTGTGAGCGTCCTCCGCCCGCTCTGTAGCCGCAGGCCTGTCGATGCGATCAGAATTAGAAATTCTAATGGACGTGTCACGGCTTTGAACTGCGGGCTTGAAGAGCTTTGAGTCTGGCGCTCCCTTGGATATGCCATGAGAAGTCTGAGCATTGATCCCTGTGAGTGTGTTTGACTTTGACAGTCTCTTTCTTTTTACTCGCCCCTTCCCCTTCACTCTCTCTCTCTCCCTCGCTCCATTAATGTTCCCTCTCTTTCTTCTTCTCCTCTTTTTACAGCAGCTCTGTTTTTTTTTTACACAGGAGCAGTCACACACACACACACACACACACTCACACACACACACACACACACACTCTTTGACGTACAGTACAAGTGATGTGCAGACATCATCAGATTTTCTGAAGTACAGCTCTCATTTAGTCATTCAGAGGAGGTGTTTGCTGCTTCTCTGTGGACTCTTTCTGACTCCAAACCTCCTCAAGTCCATGCAGATGGATTTCTTTTTTATTGGTGCTTTAGAAAAAACAGAACAACATGTTTTGATATTGAAATAAACGGTATAGTCTGTATTGAAAGGTCTGGTGATAATGAAAATGCGAGGCAGAGAATCCTCCTCGGGGAGGTCAGAAGGCAGCCCTTGTGTGGAGCTTGTTATTCAGGGATTTGCTCAAGGACATTTGAAAATAGTGTTTGCTTTTTCAACACCAAGGCCAGAGCTGAGGACTGGAGACTGAAAGGTACACTCCAAACGAAGTACGGCTCAGTCTTTGCACTAAAACACGTGGGGAAAACCCCCCACAATAGAGATGACAGAGGAACCAATCATAAATGTTGGGTGATAATTTGGGATGTGAAGCCAGGCGCACCTGCAGACATATCTCTACTTACGCAACATATTTCAGCCTCTCTGCTTAAATTCACTGGACTCAAGTTGACCCATTCTGTCTATAAAAACAGAGAAAACACACAGAAGTCTCTATTTGGTCACGATATCATATTTTCATCTCACAATTTAGTTTTTAAAATGAATGTTATTGTCAATATCGCAAAGACGAATATGCAGGTTTCAAAGTGTTTTAAAAAAAGAGCTTCAAACCAACATCTGTCTGGTGGTGTAATGTCACCAGTATGCTTTTGCGAGGTCACACTGAAATACTTTTTGCTATAACCCCAAGTACCCTTAGTGCATTTAATCTCTAAAGAAGATGGAAGAAAGAAAGTTTTTGGGGAAA